GTGAACAAAAACGAACCTATGAGGCATGAAAATTCGACGCTTCTGTTTACAGTGTAGCAGCTTTTTTTTTGTTGACAATGTCCACACGCGACACAAAACTGATAAATCGCTTCAGGGACGGTTTCCGACATGTCGCCATACGTGTCTCGTGTTTAATGACACATGCCCTCCTGTGCGCACGTCCTGCCCTCGCTAAGCGCCTTGTGACTCAGCCGTTTCCTCTGTGTGTGTGTGTGTGTGTGTGATGTACAGGCTGTCCGCGGCTGTCGTCGCCAGCCGTTAGCGGGGTGGGCGGGGCCCGAAGCTCCCACGGCATATCAAGTCATAGAGCGTAGGGCCACCAGCACCCCCCACACACAGCCGCTGTCCGGTCCGCTGGCGGCGCGGCGGCTGCGTCTCACTCGCAGCAGGAAGGTATCGGCGCGCACTACAAGTCAGCTACAAACACTGCACAGGCTGACGGCCGGCGGCAGCCAGGGAGAGGGAGCACGTTCCATTTTCTGGATCGAGACCCCTTGCTCCACTGCCCCGCACGCCCCGCCCGCCACGACACCAGACGTCAGAGAGCGCCCCTCGGCCGCCCCAAGGGCGCTCGCGCAGAGCTCGCGCTGCGCCAGTGCAGTGGGTGACGGCCGGGCCGCCCCGCGGGGCCACGACACGCCAGACGGACCCAGCGCAGGGCCCCCGCGTTGCACAATGTCTGTGTTATACTGCCCCCGTGCGGCTCGATGTATCGAACCCCAATCCCTGCCGCCGCCGCCACGAGTCGCATTTCACGAGTAAATCCACCTCCTCAGCTGGGACGCAAGCTATCTGTGCCCGGCAGTCGCTCGCGTGCCCGACCCGCCCCGTGTGACAAGACGGGCGAGGATCGCGGCCGCCGCGCGGATCGAATTCTTTGCTTTCGAAAGGACCCCGCGCGCCGCTATACATTATCGATACTATCGATCGCTGTACAAAATAATCGTTACGGCGGCAGATCACTTCGGCTGATCTGACATTTTATCGCCGCACTATCCCTCCCACATCGAGCAGCTTCCGACGAAATCGTTATCGTCCTTTTCGAAACGGCAGAAGCAAGGTGGGCGCACCGTAGGTGGCCCAGAGGAGCTAATGTGGAGATTGATTCCTCCTCTTATCGTTGGGCCTGGCCACGAGCCAGACGCTCCGCCGCCCCCTCGCTCCCTCCTTGCCCTACATTCCACGATCCAAAAGGCTAACACACTGCGGGACCCCTCCGAGAGGCTGCATGGACCGCGCGCCAAGCAGGAGCGCCACCGGCTGAGGGGAGGCGCGCGGGGCCACCCTGCTGTGAGAAGGTTTGTAGACGCACCCCTCTGTCCCACTGACTCACGGGTTGTGTTCTTTCTCTCTCCCTCTCTCCCACACACACCCACACACAAACACACTTCTGAACGTCACTCTGCGCACCGCGCCACGCAACCCGCCTGCTGCCGCCACCAAGTTAAATCGAACACCAGACACCGCTGCACAGGCTATGCTGGGCAACACACACACACACACCTACACAGTCTGTCCAGTCAGATGCAACCATTCACCGCACCAACGCCCCGCGTTCCCTTTCACTTGGGTTTGGGCGCTCGCCCCCCGCGGCACGGCCGCCCCGGGCCGCACCGCTGTCCGCCGGAGCGCGCGCGCCTCGAACTCCCCGCCGCCGCTGCACGCGCGATTTCGCATGCAGTCCGCGCGCTGCCCACCCGCGGACCCGCGGTCGTCAGGCTACCTGAGCCCGTCTCATTTCCCCCGCAGAGACTAGCGCAGCCCCGCGCCCAGTTCCGTCTCTCTCCCACCCACGGTCGCGCCGCGGCCGCGGGGCAGACACGCGTCTGACACCTCACACCTCGCGTTCGCGCCCGGCGCGCCGCCTGTCGGAAGCGGCTGCAGGCGGCGGTGCGGTGGCGCTCGGCGATAGGAAATTAATCTCTTGATGAGATTTGTTTTTCGATCGCATGGGTGGCGTTTTATTTTTATGGGCAGTGGTAGCCGTAAATATAACGGTCATCTCATTTAAGAACTTTTTTAGGGTGACCTGGTTCCAAAGAAGCCAACTCACAAAGCGACGAATAAACGTCCAATGCAAATGGGCTTCGCAAATCAGGGAACGAGGGTGATTTTATCCGCATTTGCTCCCGCACGAGAGGGTAATATATTGGATGACCCCGCAAGCACCTGACCCCCTGCGGCCGATACTTATTGATTTGCAGAGCTGGCCAGCCTCGAATAGAGACTAATCGACGCGATAACTCACCACTTTTTTTGCCTCCTTGGGCTGGTTCACGTCCGCAAGTTAGAGTACGCGTATCATTTAATTTTATTAAACTCTCTCCTATGCAGTTGCTACCCAACCTGACGAGTCGGTGCCGGTTGGTGCAGCAGAAGGAAGTTCAAGGAAATGACTAGGAATCGTGTTATTTCTAGACATGAAAGTAGTTGAGCAAAAAAAAAACGAATCTTTTCCGCAGATAACTTCTGGTTATGACTCGGAATGGTTCAAAGCAAACACATGAGGATGCACAATGCACTTTTCACAACGCACCATAAGTGGGTGTGCGGCAAACCGCGCAACTTACCTGGAGCGTGGTATTCCTGTAAAGTGCCATCTTCACGTCGGTAGCAGAAGCAGCAACAACTCGACGCACTGCACTCAGGCCCTTCTGGGCATCACACACCACAGGACTACGGCCGTAGCGGCGCAGCTGGACACTCCTGGACTTCCTGAAGGACTCCCGGATGGCAGCTGAGACGTTCCCCCTGGACGCACGGCGGACGTCGACGCGACACTGTCTGGAGGATAGTTTGTGTGGCCCTTACGGACCAGCCGCCGCCGCCCCGCTGACCAGGAGAGGGGGTGAAAGAAGAGGGAGGGGATGCTGGACCGCTGGACCGCCGCACGCCGTGGACGCCGGCGCACTCAATGGAGCAGTGGAGCACCCACCCGGCCAGGCATCACCGTTAAACTGCAGCGGCGGCTCAAGCCACGCGGCCGCCCTCGCGGAGGAGCAGCTGGAGGCGGGGAGGAAGGGGAGCGGTGGGGAGCGGCGCGCCGCGGCGCGGACTCAACGGAACGGGCTGTAGTACTGCTGTGTGTATCCCGCGGCCGCCTCCCCCTCCCCGCCCGCCACGCGAGCGCCCCTTCCCTTCCCCGCCCGGACCCTGACGGCGCCCGACGGCCCGTCTGTGACAGGGGGAAGGGCCATGCCCGTCAGGAGGATACGGGCCGCCCTTGGCCCTGAGTCGCCCGGGGGCCCCGCCGCGCGGCGGCAGCGCGCACCAGCCAACAGCAGACAGATTAATTTGTAGCGGGATGAAATGTATTTCAGGAGCACACAACATTGGGAAACAAACGTTTCATTTTGAAATTATATGACAGCATGCCTTAACCTTAAAAAAAAAAACACAAAAAAACAAACAATAGCGAACGTATTACAATTTTTGGCACATGTCGGATTTTCACTTGTTTATTTTGAGACATTTAGTATTTATCAAATCATATTAGGTACGTACCACATGGGACATATTTTGCTGTGGTTTTCTTTTCCACGTTATGTTGAATATCTGAAACGGTATGCAGGTCCAAGTGAGCCCCCCCTCTCTCGGCCCGCTCGGGCGTCCAAGTCTCCAAGAGCAGCGCGGCAACAACACCATACTGCGCCAGTCTGCTCCTCGCCACACTACGGTGTTTTGCACACCCATTCACGGGGCTGACAGTTTGATATGCCTTGAGGAGGAGAGGAGGGGCGCCGGGGGCGCGAAAGACTCACGACGCTCTTACACTACTTGCGTAAACACACTCGCTGCTCATCGCTCCGCTGGCGGCTCGAGTGCGGCCCCCATTGTGCGCCAGCTTTGGGCCGGCACGTCGTCATGCGGCGCACATCATCATCATCGAGCGGAGCGACAGCGCCAAAGGACCAGACCGAGTCGCACATCGACGATTGCAAAGGAGAGAAAAATCCATGCGACAAGTTGACATCTTTTTCCGCAGTTGTTTCGGGCCCGGCCTTGCCGGCTGGCGCTCGCCCGACACTCCTTCCTCCAGGAGGCCACCGCCCTCTCCCGCGCGCTCCCTGGACAGGCAGGCGCGGCTGTTGCTGCTGCTGGAAAATAGGTTATACGTCTTTGACACCCGCAGGCCGCGCGGCGCAGCTGGAACGCTTCCAAAACGATTCCAATCGATTGTGGTGAATGTACAACGTTTCCCAGGGAGGCGAGTAGGAGCCCATTTCACCGCTGCGCATATGCCTTACTGGGGAGTCCCCCCTCGGTAGTGTCGCGCCTGTCTGAAGGGCTTGCAGTCAAAACTGCAGCGGCTGTCCTGATCAACCCGCCTTCAAGCGTTGCTGCAACCGAACAAAAAGGCCAGCACCATATTGCTCCTAACGCACACGGTTCCGCGTGAGGTCTGCACAATCACTGACTGGCGTCAGGTTCGGCTGCTCCCGAACTGTTAATCAGGCGAACGACCGGGTGGGGCAAGCACAGTGCAACGTCAACACGCGCCAGCGTCAACAGTTGAGGCCGGCTTCCGCTGGCTACAGCAACACCCCCGACGACGCTCTACAAACTTTACCTCGGAGGTACCGTTTGAACTGAAGTGAGCGCGCGCGCACCGGCGCGTACTTCTTTTCATAAATGCACGCACTCTGTTGATGCGCCCATTCGTATTCAGTTGGGCGCCCTTTGTCTCTGCCAGGGCCAAGGGCAGGATCAGCGGGGCCCTTTGTGCCTGATGCGCCCGGCCCAGCCCGACCTAGGCCAACCATAACCTCTAATGCTCGCCCTAATGAGGTGCGGCCTAACTGCGGCGGGACGCGGTCGAGTTACGTGGCTCCGGCCGCCTGGCTGGCCGGGCCGACGGGGCGCCAAGGCTGACACGGGGCACGGAGCAAGGGCGCGAGTGTCATCCGCGGCGTCGTGCAGATTCGATAGTCTCGACGCGTGATCGACCTCCGCGAGAGTGAGGCCACGGAGCTGTCCGCCCGAGCAATGCCCCGGCCTGCCCGCCGCTCCTCCGAACGATGATCGATCTGAATGAGTTAGAGGGACGTCTCGCGCGGCGCGCACATCCCAACGTCGCAGATTGGCGTTTCTCTGATCAACGCAAGAGGTGTCGTCAGTGAGAGCAGTAGCAGCCCGCGCACCGCAACGACAAGATAAACACCATCACAAAACTAATAAAAAGGTTAAGGCGCGCGTCGAGGAAGGACGAGGCGGCGGCGGCGGCCTTAGCGGAGGGAGGTGAGCTGCAGCGCCTGCTTAAAATGACACGGTGTCGTACGGTAGCCAGGCGGCGCAGCGCGGGGCGTGGTCACGTGCCATTGGATGGCACTGACTGCCGGGCCCGCCGGGCGGCGCGGTGCAAGGCGTCCTCTGGTGCACTGTGCCCTGCTTCCTCCTCGGAGTCCATTAACACCTCCCAGCCCGTCGTCACGACCACCGGCGGTCGGAATCCGGTCTCATGTTTGGTCCGTCACGGGGAGGTGTTCCTGTTTCCGGCGCCAAAACCGCCGAGCGGCCCCGCAGAGTTCCACGAGGCGCGAGGGCGGCACGAACGAAGCTTAGGGGAGTTTTAGAGGCCCGAATAAAAAGCGGGAAAAGTGAGGGGGAAAGGGAAGGGGACAACAAGTTTTTCCTCAAAGAAATCAAATTTAATATTTTGTTTCAGATAATATCTTGAAATTTAAAATGCAATAAAATGGATGATAATTTCTTTTGAAATGGTCAGATTTACGCATAAAATAAACACATAAGATTACGGAAGGAATGAAAGTAGTTTCAAAACGCCCGTTATGAATATAAATAGCAGCTCGCAAATAATTTTGAGTGTCTCTTTGATCTAAGTAGGATTGAACGACGTAACGTAATTGCGGATCTTCGACATTGCGCGGGAATGAACCAATTTGTGCTTTCGAAAATTAGATGGACAATTAAAGCGCTTCCTGCACACGTCACACTGAAATGGTTTTTCTCCAGTATGAAGGCGTTTGTGCTGAATAAGAGATTTTTTACAAGAAAAATACTTTCCGCACACGTCACACTGAAAAGGTTTTTCAGTTCTAGGCCTAGGGATACTGGGTCTGACAAATTCATCTTCAACGTGTTTTGCATTCAGTGCACCGGTCGAGTTTTTTACCTGCATGAGAACGCGAATGAATAATTAATTTTGTTTTAAAAGAAAGCGCTTTACTGCAAAACCTGCATTTTAAACTATTTTACCGGTTTAAGAGAAGAGGCCTGAATGCGTGCTGGCTCATCGTTATCAGGGTGTTGACCACCCCTGTGAGCGTCGTCATCGCCATTATGCTCTTGGATCAAATATGTCTCAGTTGTGTTTTCCTCTTGACACTGAATGTCTCCGACGCTGTCTTCGTCGATCTCAAAATTTCGGGGTCCATTCCTCTGGACGGTGGGGAGAGAGTAGATCTCCGACAATTTGAGCTGTCTTCCACCTGCAAGTAAGGATTAAGTAGGCAATCATTGCACAACAAAAAAGGTTTGGTGTTTTCTAAGTAACCTTTACTACTGGTTTGCAAGCTAGCAGTCCCCGAAAAGCAGAGGAAGATAGCAAAGGAAGGAAGAAAAAGAAAGGAAAACAAAAGGGCAGCAGGGGCAGAAAGAAAACCCATTGACATGCACATGCGAGGCTCGAAGGGGCCTTCCTCGTTGCCGTGGAGAGAATAGTCTCCCTTTCGATGAGTTATGAACAAGCTGATCTGCAACAGACAAGTTGTTCAATTAGTGTTTTGTGCAGAGCAAAAAGCAAGATGTGCACATGCACAAGCCTTGGGTCGAGAGACAAAATTAAATTTAAGTTTAATAGAGCATCGCCAAAAAACCAATAGGTCTCACGGAATACGTCGTGGCAGGCAACTGCAAAAGAATAAGAAAGACACTGCATTGTAAAAAGTTCTCTAACAAGATTGTATTGTACAAGTTATCTTCCATATAATTCGTTAACAGCGATGCACCGCAGAACTAACTACACTTGGCACACACCACCTTTCGCACTAACCGCACACAGTGTTGGCCGAGGAGAGCGCTTGACCCGGCCATAACCACCGCCGCCACCGGTACGGTTACACGGCCGAGCAGCAGTGAACCGTTTTCCGCCCGTATTATCATGACTCCTTTTACGTTTGCATTCGGTGGTGCAACTATCGCGCGGCATTGAACAGAGAGGATGGCGCACACGCGATCTCGTTATATTATTGGGCGCGCAAGCGAGCCGCGGGCCAATTATAAGCGACAGCACTGCAATAAACCCTTGTCCGAGTCGCTGCCAAGGACCGCGAGCGTGAGGGAGGCAATGCGACACGACTTCATTAAACACAAAAGTGTCGGGGAAACGCTCGGGCGACGCAAGACGGAGACACAGAGTATTTAATAATCAGATATAGGGTGTTTTTCAGCAGCCAAGATCATTGCGACGCGAGCTCCTGGCTCGCGTGTCCCGCCGCCTGACGCAGCAGGCGGTGACCGTAGTGCTGACCGAGTAGCGACGCGGTAGCGTATCGCTTTTCCTCTCTAGCCGATCTCCTCCGACACGTACACACTCTCTCACACACAGTCTTATTGGCAACCCGACCAGCCTACGGTATCAGATGGGGGAGGCTCAAAGAATGGCCGCATAAAGCCCTTTGCCGGTATTTATTGCCTGCAGTTAAGCCACTGTGGAGTTGCACTCACCACCCCCCTTGGCGGGCAGACGAAAGGGCATCGGCCGAGGAGTGGAAGGCGTCAGGCACTCTGCAAGACAGAAAGGAAAACAAAACATCAGTTTTACATCAAAGTTGGGAGGTATCTTTTCATTTAACCATGGTTCCATGCACATGGAAATAAATTAAAGAACGCTTTCAGTTCAATTTGATGAAGATTTCTAGAGAATACATTTAAAATGCGAACTATTATAAGTAACCACATAATTACACTTTTGTGCAGCCACAAAATTTTATAATTTATCAAAAATAGAAAAATGAAATTACTGTTGTGGTGCTATTAGCTCTGGTAACTGTTCAATGGACTCATACTCTCCTGGACATAATCAGATAAGCAGCGCAGCCTTGCGCTGCTAACGTGACCCGCTCACCACGTCCGGGAACCCATTTTCTATTTACTCCATACATACCACCTTGCTTGTGCCACCCCACCCACCCTGGAGGCTCTAGCTGGTGCGTGCGTAGGTGGGTGGGTGTGCCCACACGTACTACTTTACCCTGCTATAATTCAACTAATTCATTTCCAATCCTAAGCCTGCAGTCGTGCATCTGTTGGGTGCAAAGCGACGATAGTTTCGAAAAGTCATCATTGTACTGACGGTGATAACTTGTAGTACCACGTTTTAGTAACACACCTGGTAGTACTACCTCGCAGTACTTCTGTTTTATTACGACTACTGCATACGTCAAAGGTGATACAATGTAGTCTTGTTAGTAGCCTCATAAGCCACACGAGGAATGCCAGCCACACCACTCACTGGCGGTCAAATGCAGACCACCCTCTCCCCCACGTCATACTCTCGGCCAGACGCCGCCCCGTCCAGCCCGGATCTGGCCTTGACTTTGTTTGTACTTAAATGCGTGACCAGCTATTACCGGTCGGAGCGTGGCGTGGCGTGGCGCGGCGCATTATTGCGGGGGTGGCGGGCTGCGCGGCCGCGGGCCCGTCAGATAAAGCGCCATGATCACCATAATGAGGGGACAAATTCCCTTGAATGAATCTGTCGTGTTTTCGGGCGCGGCGTGACGTGGCGCCCCCCGAACACTTAGCAGCACTGCGACCCTGCTCCCGGGCTTCGGACGGGAAGCGTGGCGGGGCGAGGCGGAGCGTGGCGCGGATGTGCCGCCGTGGGCGCCGGTGCGGCAAAGCCCCGCGTAATGCGACACGACCCGAGTTAAAGCGGGTGATGCAAATAATAGCCACCCTGCGCGAGAAACGCGAACTCTTTTATAAAGTGTTCATGGGCACTGGGCACTACGGATATTCCGTCCCTTCCCCACCACTGTTTTTCGAGCAGTTCCCGAACCTTGGTGTAGGATTTTGGGCAAAGGACCTACATTTCATCAAAACCTCTCTCGAAAAATATAATAGAAAAACGACGTGAGATGGATTCCTGTTGCGTTTTCCCTGTTTCAACCTAGCATTCATAACCGCTGTTTGAAACTGTCGGCAGATATGCAAGTAGAGGCACCCAGACTGCCCGCGGGCCACACCAGATAGCCATAGAAATACGAGGATGTAGATAACAGACGCGGCGCGGCCTCAACCAAGGGCGTATGTATACGTGAGTGCGGCAGGGCCACATGCAATAAATAAAAGGGCCAACAATATCAACCTACCCTTTTTTGCCTTAGATGAAAATGTACATTTTCAGTGAATATTTTCAATGGCCCATTATATTTTCCTTAAATAATACAGTGTTCACCTTTATCACACAACTTTACCAGTACCGTGTGCACCGAGCACCTATACGACGGGCGCTACCGCAACCCGCAACCCCCGCCCATGGCTCCCAGCAGTCTGTTTTCCCGCTTCGACTGCTGGGACGATGAGTGTCGCGCCGTGCGACTGAGCTGCGCGCCGACCGAATCAAATGGCTCATGAATGACGAAAAGGAGAGGGAGCTGCCGACTGCATTTTACTGTCTGTCGACGCCTTTCAGCCAAGGGCTTGCGGCGTATACACTGTGAGTGTTCCGGGTGACCATTTGGTTGACCATAGATCTCAAAGCCACCTCGTCCCTCGCTAGGGACCCTCAGGGACCAAGGACGCGAGGTTTGACAATGATCGGACGCAAGGACAGGCTCCTCGTTAGTACAGCTAAACAAGTTCAGTATTGTCCCACTGCCCCCGCCAGCAGGGCATAGGAAGGGATAGGGCACGATTTAGTCCGATGGGGCCACCACTCGCGCAATCCTGAGTACAGATGAGGGTGTAATCCCTCTGTAATCCTTATGTATTCCGTGTAATACTTGACCAAATTTTAAACCATTATCTGTAAATTTCACGTTATTATCCAAATTTAATGGTTTTAGAGCCAGAATTTCAACAAAATTCATGTGTAATCCCTCAAAATTCACGTGTAACCCCTGTAATCACGTAATCCTATGTACATCCTAAATTGAAGTGGTGGCCCCCTCGATTTAGTCGCCGACCAATCATTGCCGTCGCCGCTGAAGCGTAGAGCGGCGTGTGTCAGCCGCTGACCACTGGCGTGCAGGTCGCATTTTGTGTTCGTGTTTGTGGACCGACTGAACCTGCTCGCGGGTCCCCACGCTATTGCTGAATGGAAACCAGCAACTCACCGCGGGCGCCTCCTGAGGGGTCCCAAAGGGGGACCGCGGGGGGAGAAGGGTTCCCCGGAGGGTCCCAAATTAATTGCCGCGATGCGACGTGACCGCCGTGGCCATCGCGCGGCCCGCCCCCGCTTCCGACATGGCGGCCAGCCGAGCGGCCAGCAGCCCCAGACAAGGCGGTGACGGCCTCTGCGGGCACGACGGGCCGCTCGTCATAAACACGGCTCCAAATGAACAGGCGCAACGACCGCATACGTCAACCAGCCGAACCCATTACAATGACTTTGGGCCGCTTATAAAGGTATACGCCCCGGAGCAAACCGGGACAATAGCGAGCGACTAACAGCACTAAGCATCTCTCTCTCTCTCTCTCTCTCTCTCTCTCTCTCTCTCTCTCTCTCTTTCTGAGGACAGTCCCGTGACCTTGCTAACCTTAGCACCTTGCCGTTTACACACTTCACCACCGGCGTTCGGCGTCAAACGACGTGGGAGAATAAGGCGCCACGTGGTCGTGTGTGTGTCTGTGAGCGTGTGTTTGGACCGGGTGGGGGAGGAGGGGTGGGGGGAGAAGGTAGAGGGAGAGATAATATAGTGCGAAAGGGAAATAAAGAAAGGAGTCGCCGGTAGGGAGTGGTAGGGGGAGCGAGGAAGGTGGGTGTAAGCGTGAGTGTACGCAGCGCCCGCGCTTTGCGCTAAATCTCTCTCTCCCTCGTCTCCCCACTCTGCCCCCCTCCCCCTGCGCGTCCGACAATGGGCAGCGCCTTCTCTTTATCTGCGCAAATCAAACGCCCCCTTCACATGAGTTATCATGTCGTATTGCTCCAGTAAAGCTTGCGCCCCGCCGCAGCAGCCTCGACAATTAGAAAAATACGGCCAGGCTGACGTCAGGGGCGGGCCGGGGCGGCGAGGCGGGCCGCGGGCGGAGTAACAACACAATAGACTGACTACACGTGTAAACGGCTCAACAGCGCGCCACTCTCGCGACAAAGTTGATCATCCCTCACATCTTTTTTTTTTTTTTTTTTGTATACTCTGCGATATGATCCAGATGAGCACACACAGGGTCAAGGGACCAGGAAGAGAGCCTGAGCCACCGAGGCCTCTGTCGCGCCTCATCGGGCTGCTGCTCTTGCGGCGGCTCTTTGCGGCTCCCTAAAGCGAATGCCAAGGATGAGCCGCCGAGGTGCGGCGGAGCGCGCTTAACTGCCGCGCGGTCTCACTGGGCGTGGCGTGGCGCGGCGCAGCGAGACAAGGCTTATCACGCGTGACCTACCGCAAGGTGTGTGTACGTACGGGACCGAGCAGCAGCGTTGGTCCTGGGAAAAAAAAGATGTTGAAAATTGTCGCCTGCTACACGTAGACGGACTGCTTCGCCTGGCACTTGTGAAGGCGTGAGCGACCCTCCTGAGGGCAATACAAAAGCGTTTGGGCAGATTATTCCTAATTTTAAATTGCATAAAATGTGCCAAATAGTTGTTTTCTTAGTTTCAAAGTTTCGTGACCTACTTCCTATCAGCTGTCTGACAGAGGTTGCCACAACAACGGGCGTACACGGTGGGTGCGGGACTTGGGCGCATTTATTTGAATCATTCCCCCCTCCCCATCACATCTCCCCCAGCCCGCACCCCATTGTGCTGCATTGCAGTGTGATCAGATTCCGAATCCGAACAGTCGGAATGATCTGCAGACGGGCACAACACAGGCACAGCTGCACTCAGACAAACCTGCCCGCCACGGCTCAAGCAGTCTGAAACAAACCGAGCAAAAACTTATTTGAAAACTACCGTTCGATCCTGTGGTCAGTAGTCTGCACACGCTTTGTGTGTGTCCGGGCACCGCCTTGTGCTATGTGCACCGCAAAACGTTTTCGGCCGTGACCGAGAATGCGCGCGCCGCCTGCTAAATCAGATCGGCCTTATCGACTTATCCTCTCAATTACGGAGGAAGGATACGACGCGCACGAGTCAGCCCCCCACACCGGGCCGGGCGGCGCACCGCGGCGAGATCCGCCCGCCCAGAGTGACGGCGATGTGGGGCGGAGGACGTGCTAAAACGCCCCCCCCCCCTACCTCCTACCCGACGACGTGCCTGTTCATACCAGGCCGACGGCCGACCAGAGGTGAGAAGCGGACCTATCCGGACACGATATTTCGGTACCACACGATAGCGGCCCGGTTCCGGATCCGTTCCAATCCGGTCCTACCGTAGCCATACCATACCGAAGCATAGGCCGGGCGCGCAGACAGAACCGGATTGCCGATCTGGATGGGTCCGTTTCTCGGCTCTGCGGTCGACACCACCCCAGTCGCACCCGCAGCTGCGAGGCCTTGACTGTGGAGCATCGCTGACCCACTGCCAGACTAAAATGCAGGGCAGCTCACTGAATATCCATCGCTCTGGGCGAGCAGGGCACTAGGAATGAAGGAGCGCCTGTCAGGCTAGCCACTTGTTTTACCGTTTTGTTGCATCACAGGCCCGAATTCCTTCAATTTTTTTCCATTCCTTTTCCGGAACGAATCACGAGTGTTCTGACTTCTAGATTGCTGGGTGCTGCGGATTTAAAAGGGTTCTCGTGTGCACTTCGGGAGAACGGGACCCTTCATGATAGCATAGTTTTCGATAGCAAAACTTAAGATGCACTGTGAAAAATATCCTTGTAAATTAACATTTGTGGTAATTTTGATTTACATTATATGTCGTAAGTTTACGACGGCACATTCTTGCTCGTCGGCCAATTCCTAGTCGATAGAGAGTGCTTGTAAATTTACAATTTCAAATTGTAATTTTACTTTAATCATAGAAAATTTCCCCGTAACCCTGACGAGTATTTTTCACGGTGTGACGTCGGAGCCTTTCATTTACTTCACTTTGTTTTATTTTTTTCAATTGGAAAACACGCGTAATGAAACTCTGCTTTGCTACCAACCATTTTTCGCTTGAGATCATT